GCGCCGGTTTTTGTTTTGCTTGCCCTGCCTGCTTTTCTTTCTTCTGCGATTCTTTTTTACCCAAAATAAGGGGGTGGGCCCCCGTCCCCCTCCCCTAGATCCGCCACTGTAGAGAACTGATGCTTTCAGCTTTGAAACAAGCAACGAATAGACCACCCAAAGGATTGACGATTCCCGGAGGAGACTGCCATATAAAAAGAACGGGGTCCTCGTCGTAACTTTTAGATTTGAAAGAGCGCTTTGGTACCAGGCCTCTTGGAGTGTTCAGCCATAGCGGGAACTTTTGCGGTACCTCTTAGGGTATTAGCCAGAAAAAAAAAATATCTTTCAGGAGATATTTCAAAATCAACTCATTTACGAGTAGAAGGTGTTCGAAGCAATCGTCTTTATTGCCATTGAAACTGAGTGATAGCTGATGTGCTGTTTTATAATTGGTACGTCTTACGTCAAACCACGCCCACAAAACAGGATCTTGGTACCTCTCAGACCTTTCCTTTCCGACCAGCACCCCCGTCTTTTTTATATGGGAGCCTCTCTCCCCCACAGGAGACGATTTCTTCATGATATTTTACTTCTTGCTACTTCTGTATTACAAACTCTCAACCTCCATCCTACCAATAATTTCGCTTTTTTGTAATGAACATACCTCCGGCGACAAACCCTGAAAGAAAGAGGGAAACAATGAATCAGCTACTAATCACTACTAGCGATAGTGGCTGGTGTTTAAACCAATTAGTCAAAAGCGTTTAAGTCACACTGCTTGAACAGGGCAATTATACATTTACGCATTAGGATAAGTCTGGGTAATCACTAAAATGTTGACGAGAGATATTGGGAAATAATTTCATGCGCGTGGAGGCTTGGGAAATTATCTGAATTTTAGCAAAACAAAAGTGAAATTATTTCTTAATTTTAGGAGTAGACTACTTGATTATTTTTTAATATTATGGGTAACAAATTGATGGTTTGTTAGGAACAAGTGTTGACCAGCTTATGGGAAAGGAAGGTTTCCGAAAGGTGAATAAGA